CCTCGCCTCTTCTCCATCCTCCCTCTTCCTGCTGCTGCTCATGCTGCTGCTCCTGTTCCTCATCGTTGTTCGTACTCTTCGTAGGGCGTTGTTCATTGTTTGGGTTGGCATGCTGCAGGTTGCCTGGGGTCGTCTTCTGTGTTTACTTGAGCTCGCCGTTTCACTCCATGGTTCTCGCGGAGCGTAATACCATTCGGCAACCACTGTCGGACTGCACTCTTACCATCCAGGGCTGAGTGAGGGTGGACAAGTGCGTCCCGGCGTCCAGCTCATCGAGCTCGTAACCCGCGGCGATAATTGACAGCCAATTGACGCTCCCCACGCTCTGCTCGGCTTCGCGGGCGGTCATCTTCTACGTGGAGCCCGCGGAGCGGCACGCTCGGAGTTCGCTGCCAGTCGTGATGTGCCGCCATGAACTTCCCTGACGCGGCAAAGAGGCAAAAACCGCTATGATTGTCGTGAGGCTCCCCAGGATGGTCTGTCAGTGATCGTGCTGAATTCAGGTTGTGAGCGATTTCCAGGCTGTGGTTCGAGGCCCAGGTTCAGTCTTTCTACTGCTGAGGAGGCAGCCTTGTTGCAGCACGTAGTCTTTAGCTTGGACCGCTGTAAATCGATCGGGTTTGCCCCAGGTTCGGAGGGGCGCTCACCACTAAATGGTAACGCTTGCAGAGACATGAATCGAGAGTACCCGTTTCCGACAGGTTGAGTTGCAGGATGAAATTCCCCGTGTCTTCTATATTGTTCACTGCGCGCTAATCCTCCAGATGCTGAGCTTCATACTTGTTTCTTACTCCTCCTCCTCCTCCTCCTCCTGCTCGAGGTCCTCTCTTCCCTCCGTGAGCCAGCGCAGAAGCATCCACAGTTGGAGCCGCAAGGCCAGACTTCTCCTGGAGGCCAGCCAGGGCGCCTTGACGTGAGCTCGGCCAGCTCCAGGTCTAACAAGTTGAGGCGAGCCCAAGTACAATGCCTGCACGTTTGCCCAGCAACGCCTCTTGCACGGGCGCTGTCTTCGAGCGCATTTCGGCGCGTCGATACCCGAGTTCGCACCTTTGGGCTCGACGCTGTGCTGCCACTGCACTCTTCTGATCAACCATCTCAGGGCGTGCACCCGCTCAGGGTTCAGTGTCAGGTCCGTCCCGCCGTTGAGAAGGTCAGTGCATGTGACTGGCAGTGACGACATGTGGACTCCATGCCCCCGAGCCGTCTGCATTCTCTGCGCCCCGGCGCCCTCCCCAAGGTGGCGGCGGCAGCGCAGGAGGCCGAGGCGCCGGCGGCAGCTGCGGCAGTGGCGCCAGAGGCGGCAGCGGCGCCACCGCCTGCCCCGCAGGCCGCCCACTCGGCACGAGAAGAAGGCGGAGGAGAAGGAGGAGGAGGAGGAGGGGGGAAAGAGGAGGACAAGGAGGAGGAGGAGGAGGAGGAGGAGGAGGAGGAGGAGGAGGAGGAGGAGGAGGAGGGAGGAGGAGGAGGTTGAGTGTGGCGCCCACTCGGGTAATTATGTGCGGCCCGATTCGCAGTCGCCAGAAGACAGGTATGTTCCCCCGCTTTGAGACCCGTGCCAGGCAGGCCGCCAGGTGGAATGTCCAGGGAGAAGTTGGTATTTTGTGCTGCTTTGCGGTGGCTTGGTTTCGACGGCGAGGGTACATAATATTCGTCTGAAGTCTGCATCGTCACCACTGGCCTGAGAGTATCCAGACCCTTCCCCGAGGCGGCGGCAGCGGCGGAGGATGCACCGCCGCCGCCGCGCGCAGCGGAGGAGGAGGAGGAGGCGCCACTGGCTGCAGCCGCGCCGACACTGGCACCGCAGGCTGCCAACGCGCCGCGAGAGCCTTCTTCTGAGGTGAGCCAGGGGTATTTCCTTCCGTCCTTTCTCTATCCACGCACCTCCCTATGGGTGGGCTACCTCGCGTGCCCAGCGGGGTCTGGCTGCCTCACGGCCTGGGGGGTCGGAAACAATAGCGGTCTCTGCTTCCCTGCATTTGCCCAATTGATGATGTGCACTCGCTGCGCTGTCCTGCCCGCCTTGCTACTGCCCTCCGACATCTGAGGCTTTCGACCAGCGGCCTCAGCCTGCCCGCGAGCTCATCCGCAGACTGGCTCAGCAGCCTCCCGCTGCCCTCGAGTCGCAGCCGTGAGGCTCCCGCCCTCCTCTCCCTGCCCCTCTCCGCCCTTGCCCTAGGCACCCCTTGCCGTCGCCCTCGCTGCGTCTCTGCACCTGCCCCCCCCCCCCTCGCCAGCCTGAAACATGTCGTTGCTCCTTCTTCCTGACATCGACACCCTTTCTGGGTGCCAACCTTGAGGACTCGCCCGCTTCGTCAAGGCGCGTCCCCAAGACTGCCATCGCCTTGGACATGCGGCATGCCAACCTTTGGGACAGGGATGGGCTCGAGCCTGGCGACCCCCCCCCCCCCGAGGCTGGCGCCACCTCTGGCGGATCCGGGGCGACCGAGCCGCCAGATCTGCTCTGAGGCGCGCCGCCGGCCGCCGCCGCCGCCGCCGTCGC